TGTCAGGACTTGTTGGCATTAACATTGAAGGACTATCCTTTAGCATAAGGTCCTGTTTTTCCCATATATGGAACAAGGAGAGCTCCCCATCTTTTGTAGTTCTGGATTTTGGGGGTTTATGAGTGATAAATTTCATGCAAATAATGTGAATGAAAGATTTAACCTAGTGTGGAATATAATATTCCTCTTTAAAAAAAAATAAAAGCACTATTTATTTAGACATGTCGAGGCAGTCATTTTGGGTTGTGAAAGAAATTGCTGTCTTCAAAACTGGATTAATGGCCCTTGGGGCTACACAGAGAGGATGGTGGGGAGGCAACACGGGATATATACCAAGACTGAGAAAAATATACACTGAAGCTGTGCTGAAAATGCCTGAATTAATGTTTTCATTTGTTCTGCCAAGAGTCTTCTGGGATTTAATGAGCACACATAACCCACTCTGACTTGAATTGTCTGTGAGCTGAAGCCATGGCATTATTTTCACCACATCTCTTGTCCAGAGAGAGCTGCTTGTTGTTTTGGGATGGTGCTGATAAGCAAAGTGAGTGCATTTAGCAGGTTTTGCTCATGGTATTTTCTGGGGGGTTACCTTTTTGGGGAGGGGTCTTTTATTCATGGGGAAATCTTCCAGTCAAGTCCACCTGTTGACCCCAAGCTGTTCTCCCAGTCAGTCAAATCCTAGGAGATCCTGATTTGCTCTGCAGTGGCCTTGACACCTCTTGGGCCAGCAAGAGGTGAGCATAAGTAGCACCAGTCAAAAGATCCTCAACACACTGCCGTATCAATGCCTCTGGGCATATTGGATTATAGGTTTGATTCCTTTTCACCATGGCAGTTTTTCCTCAAATTTTTTATTAAAAAATCTCCTTAATTTCTTAATTATCTCCTTAATTTCCTGTGATACAGAAACATGGAAGAGTGTTCAGCATGAATCCTGTGCTTCATGAAAATGTCCTGGCAATACTCCTTTGCCAGATCATTCTCACGCATTTCAAAACAAAACCAAGCATAAACTCTTACCAGTGAAACACTTAGACTGAGTTTATCCCTGGGGAGATGATCAGAAGCAAACAACATGTGACAGTTGCTAATCACATTCTGTAATATATCACTGGAAGGCTCTGAGACGCTGCAGCAAAGGGCACAGTATTCAGAAAGGAATAGAATGGCTTTGATCTGAGGTTAATTTTGGGTTATGCTTTGGAAAAAAAACCCAGCAAGCCCCAAACAAACCTTGCTCTGTTATAAAGATAGAAATTACTAAAGCATTCACATTGAATTTTATGAACAGATTCTAGGAACATGTAAAACCTGAGTAGCAGGGATCCAAGCACATGAGTAGTATGATTATGTGCAGGAGTTGAAAGCAAACTAGTAATTTGCAAATTCTCCAATAATTGATTACACATTAATTATTATTTATTTTGTATGCTAAACTAGATTAGTTATTAATTTTCCATATTATTATTCATTAATTCATTTATTACTAATTCATTACTTCACCATTTGTAACTAGAACAACATTTCACGTGCAGTCAGTGCACCAGAGCAAATGAAAATTCAGTGACAGAGTCTGAGAAGGACAGAGGATGCTGTGAGAAAACACCTCTGGTTGTCTTATCTCACTTCCTTCTCAGAGCAGGTCCAGTCACAGAAAGATGCCCAGGGACTTGGGGAGTTTTTAACCTCTCCAAGGGTGGAGAGTTGCCATCTTTCTGGGCTCTGACCACCCTTATGGTGCAAAGTTATTTTCTTTTATCCTGTCTAAATGTCCCATTGATTGGTTCATTTGTTTAAAAGACACTGACTTTTCCAGTTTTTGCTAGTCTAACACAAATTTCTGCCTTCTCTTCTTTATAGCTCCACCACAAAGCACTTGGTGAATAATTATGAAGCCTACAGGAAAGCCAGGCTCTGGGAAATGACTGATATGTGCCACTTTTCAAGGCTGCATGATGCTCTGTAGCACATAGATTAGGATTCTCCCTCTAAATCACTTTTATTTGAATTGTTCTAATGTGAGTGCAGTTGTCATGTGGAGAAGCACTCCAATTAAGTGACGGATGCTTCACAAACAATGTTATTCTAGCAAACTAGTGATTGGGCCAGCACGTTCCAAAAACCAGTGTTGTTTTTAAGATCCTTAAAATACCAGGAACTGTATTTTTTTTAAGGATATCTGGTATCCTTAAGATACCAGGAACTCTCTTTGGGAATTTCAGGTTTGCTGATAGCAAATATGACTCTCGATCTTCAGATCCATTTGTGGTCAGAGGTTTGAAAGGCTGAGTCCAGCAACACCTTTGGAAAATGTGCTGTACTCTGAAGGAGGTGCTGATACAAGATTCTGTATCAACTACGACTTTCATCTTTTGTTTCTCTAACTCCTGGATGCTCAAAGGTGGAAAAACATGCAGAGATAAGAGGCTGTGGCAGGTGACCAGCAGCTCTCAGGAGAGAAGCCCTGGCCTGGCTCTCCGTGATGGCAGATGGATGGCAGTGCAAAGTAGAAGGAAGAAACCCCATTTCTCACTGCTTTCATTTGATCTGCTTCCTTTTTCACATCTCCGTGTGTGGGGCAAGGGGGAGGGCAGGAGTTTCCTTCATGCTTCAGCAGTGGTGCTGAATGTGAGGGAAACAATAGCTGGTCTGAATCCAGGCATTCCCCTGGGCAGGGGCTGTTTGGGGAGTGAGTGTAGACCTGTGATTCTCACAGGTACCACTGCCAGTGGCTGGAATACCTGTGGGGTGTTTGGGAACCAATAGAAAAACAGAGCTCTGTCCTAAATGTCATCTTCTGAGTTTTCATGGAAATAGATTTTTCTACCTCTGAATCATTTTCAAGACAAGGCTTAACACTCATCTGTCAGGATGACATGTTTTCTTCTCAAATGATAACTTTCAATTCATCTGAAGTACTGGAAGTGCATGTTGCACTCTCATGCACTCAAAAAAACTCCCCAAACCCTGAGTATTGTCACAGGAAGAGAAAGGTTCCTCTGCAGAGGAAATACATGCAATCAGCTTGCTGGTAGTTGCACCACAAACCGCCTGAGCACCACGCTGCCTTCTTTCCTCACCAGCTGTGATTAAGAGGCTTGAATTGCAGATAACTGCTTTGGAAAAATGCAGGGGAAGCATCTGCTCAGCCCTGCAGACAAGAGCAACCAATGGTTCAGCACCAAAAATAATCCCTGCCACCTCTGCCTGACAGCAGGCAAGTTTTTGATCAGCTCTTCTATTTCCCAATGCTTTTATTTCTCAGATAAACAATCTTGATTCCGAGGGATGGGTTGTGATTCACTTGGGGAAAGATCATGCAAAATCAAGTTTTGTTCTGTAACATCTCAAAATAATTTGCAGTTATTGCAATTTACATTGGGTCTTTTCTGGTGGGGGAAATGCTTTTTATAGTGAAAATGATTTTACAAGACCTATATGTGATTTTTTTCTGGCTCAGACTTGAACACAACAGTCTGAATATTGTCCAAAATGATTTGGACTGCCCAGGCAGCCTCTCACCAGCAGAATAGGCTCAGGTAGCTAATGATGAGCTGTGTCTTGAGATTCCAATAGTGTCTTCCTCCGAATAAGAGTAATATAAGATTAGTCTTCTCATGGAGCCACAACCTTTGGTACCATCTGGCATTGTGAGATACCAAAAATGAGACCAAAATCCTAAATTAACTTTATTTGAAGCCTTACAGGTTTCATTTGGGTCAAGTTCAATGTCAAGTCAAGTTATTTAAGGCTTGATTGTTTGTTCCAGATGTGGACCAGAAACACAGGGTGGAAAGGAGCTGCACCCTGCTAGCAGGTGGCTGGTGAGGAGAGACATTTCTTTTCAGAGGTCCTGCCCTTGTAGAGACTGATTTACACCTCTGGCATCCCTTCACAGTCTCCTTGTGTCTTGGTCCATCTCTGCTGACCAGCTTAGCTTCTCTGAGGAATACGTTTCTGGAATGTTTGGAGGAGCAGTTCCTCTTCCACCTCAGCTGTAAAGCCCAACATTTTGTGCTAGGCCAATCTAGGAAGCCCAAAGGTAGGAAAGAAAGTGATTTCTACTCTTCCCTCCCAACCTCTACCTATAGCATGATTCTGAATGAGTGTGAGTAATACTGCCTTTGATTTCTAGTTTGGGTTTTTTTCCTTTAAAGAGAGCCTTTTGCTTTCTTTCCCTCTCTTCTCCCTTCTTGTTATTAAGGAAAAAGATGCAGGAGAAGGGACGTGGGGAGAAGAATGTGTGATGCAAAAATCCAACTTTAAGATAACTATCTTTTTTGGAGAGGCTTGTGAGAAAAATTTTTAAAAAACCACATGCAGAACGAGGCCTTTGTTTCGCTTGGGGATTTTTGCATGATTTGAGATTAATGTTTTGGCTCTGTTTGGGTAGGATAGTCTGTGTCTGTGTGCATACACAGATCAGGGGAACACATTACATAGCAGCACAGAGACCTTGCCCTGCCACAGTGCCCGCTTGCACGAGAAAGTGGATTCTTCAGCTCCTACATCACTCCCAGCTTAGTCAGACATACCCTGCAGACAGCAGACTGCCTAATGTGTTGCTGTTGTTTTGATTTCAAGGCTCTGAGGCCTGGCTCTCAGCAGCCTTGGACTGAAAAGGGACAAACAACAAACGCAGATAACTCAGAGGATGCAGGAAATAAAGGACATATATGTATTTTTAAGGATATGGATGATGGGGGAGGAATTGCTGATATGGCTGTGAACTAGTGTGATATATTTAGAACCTTGGAGTAAAGCTCCAGTTCACTGAAGTCAGTAAAAATATTGCTGCTGAATTCACTGGAAACAATTCTTCTGTCCTCTGTCACAGGAAAGTATTTGTTGAAAATATACATCAACAGCGCTTTCACATCTGTGTCCCCAGGGAATAAATGACACTGTACTTCCATAATGCTAACGTACAAGCATATATCTTTCTAAAGATGCTCTCGTGAACCCTGAAAGCCCTGTCTTTTTTCTTCTTTTCTCAGCTTCCAGGTCAAGTCCTGGGTCAGGTCATAGGTGTTACCACTGGGGAGGAGGAAGGAAAGTATCCTAATCACTCCAATCCAAGTAAGTTTTTGTGTAGGAATGGAGTGTTTTGGGATTGGGTTTTCTTTTGTTTTGTTTTGTTCTGTTTTGTTTTATTTTGTTGGCTTGGTGGGGTTTTTTTTTTTGCAATGAGCTGTGTTTTCTGTTCTATTTTAAAAACAAAGCAAAGTGCATGTGAGTCGCATACACAGCCACCTTCAGCTTTACTGAAGCTCTCCGCAACAGATGATGGTTGACTTGAATGAATTCTCTTTGCATAGTTAAAAACCACTTTATTTTATTATTCATGACTTGTTTCTTCCCTCTCTCATGTTTCTCAGTTTTCTCTCTGCTTCATAGACGGGTAGTCATGCCAGATTGAGACGAGGATGTTATTTCATCTTGTATTAGGAAGCCATGTTGGGGCAAAAAAGCATGTCAGAAGGATAGAGGGCATTTTCTCAAATTCCAGCTATGTTAATTCCCAGTGCCTGTCTTGTAAGAAGATGTAGAGAGCTGGTTTTCATAAAGTAACCATATTGTCACTTTGAGGCTGTCTGCAAGTTTTTTTGGTCTGCAAAATAAAGAAATAGAAAATAAACTGCATGGGAATTTTAAGTATCTCTAATATTTTCAGTTAAAATGTTGAGCTGTGTAGAAGTACTCTCAGCATATATGAAAATCATAATGAGTCAGTGTCCTTCAAGATGCAGCACCCACATTGATTAGAAAGATCACAAAGCTGGCCTGATGAAAAGGTTATGTATTCAGTTGCACATGCAGTACAACTGGGTATTAAAAATCAGGCTGTGAAGTATTTGTTAAAAGCAGATCTAACTCCATTGATGTCAAATCACTGATTTTCTTTGGACAGAGATCTATTGCTTTAAGTTTATATTCAATATAAACATCATATGCAATAATAAATCTTAGGGGCACATGCTCAGATTATTTGATTTATAATTTCATTTAGTGTAAAGGTATTCCATTTCATTCCATTCTTGTGTTTCTCATTCCTCTGTAACAACCTTGTAAAAGTGACAGGAAGGCTCAGATCTTTGCCTGACAAACAATATCTATTATTTGCTACATGAAAGTGGTACACAACTCTCTTAAATGTTCCCTAGCAGACTCTTATGGCATTCCACAATGTGCCTGCACTTGAACCACCTCCATTCATATCAGAGCCTTTTTATCCCAGCACACATTGAGCAAACTGCTCTGAAGCTTAATTCTCCTGACCCTTCAGTGCAGTCGGATATTGTCACCTAATCCCCTTTTTTTCCTTCTGTCCCATGTGTGATTTTGACTTCTTTCTCTTCTCAACTCATTTTTCCTCTTCCCTTTTTCTTTCTTTCTTATTCTATAATCCTCTCTCCAGGCTGCACATTCCAGAATTCATCCTTGCATTAGGGCTGCAATACAATGCTCTCCCAGTGTTAAAGGATTAGACATTAAGGACACTGTGGCAACTCCAGCCTTACTCACTGCACAAGGGGAACATAAGGGGATGGAGGAGCTCCCACTAAAGAGGAAGGAGTCTGAGAAAGAAGGGGGGGGGAAATGGCATCTTAGCAAAACCAGAGTGGGTGACAAAGAGGTTTGTGTGATTAAAAGTAACGTTTTCTGCTCAGTTTAACATTCTGGGTTGTTTCTGGAAGACAGTAAACCAGTTGGAAAGCAAGGTGCTGCACATTACACTGGTGTTGGTACATTAAATGCAGGGTTTTTTAGCAGCCATCTCTAAGAAATGTCCAGTTTGAAGTTTGTCACGTGGTGTCATGTCATTCCAATGCATGAGGTGACACTGCTGTCTGAAGTGCCAAGGTTAATCAATAGTGCATAGAGTTGTTTTTGTTTCATAGATAATTGTGCCTCTGACTCACAGATTTCCAAAGTTCGTTCTGCTCCCAGAGGAGGAGTCTGGGGTCTTAACATCCAAATATTTGCTGCAGATTGGTTTTCATTTGTTTTAATTTTTTATGAAGAGAATGGCCTTTGTTAAATGTCTCTTCTACTTTCCTTATTGGATTGGAACCAAATTATTGAATCGGAAACAAAAGCGTCATAATTTTCAGTATACACAGGTTCATAACAGTGTAGAAAACCCTATTTTGATTAAATTATGGTTAATTTCTTTATTTGTCACTACTTCACCCCTGCAAAATTCTGTAAAAGCAAATTTAAGGCTATAATCATGCCTCATTAAAATCAATCATTGATCTCCAGAAGCTATTAAAGGATTAAATTATTAAGATGGGGTCATTCCTGAAGCACGCAGACCTAGTAGTGGAGCAGTAATTGTCTATTAGAATCTGTAGCATGACTCACAAAACCCTGTAGAGGGCTTCTTGTTTTCCACCGAGGTTGTTTTGGTATTTTGGTTGATGGGGTGGGAAAACGAGTGTGAAGAAGCAAAATTTTGCATTTTGCATGGGAGCTCGTGGTCATCCTAATCTATTACAGAAGTGAGGCCTGCAGCCATGGACCAGCTGCCGAAAAAGTTTTGTCACCCAGACTCATGAGTCTCACCCTTGTGGCTGACAGTTTCATTGTTCCCGAGGAACGTAAGTGTCATGGGAGGTCATGGTTGCATTATTATTATTCAGCTACATTTGAATAAATGTACTTGGCTCTGCAAAGAATGCTACAGGCCTACTTACCCCGATGTACCCCACAGGCATGTGGTGAGGCTTAAAGATTGTAAAGTGCTTTGAGTTCCTTGGGAAAAAAAAAGCACTACATGAATGCAACAGATTCCCATTTCTTCATACAGCATCTGGTTCCACGTCAGTGATGTTATGATATACGGGATCAGACCTGGAGTGCTGTACATGTGTTGGATTATTCACAAACATAAACAGAGATATGACCCCAACCCCAAAGTCTCTGCAGTGTAAAGACCTGAACTGGCAGCCTACCAAACACACCTTCTGTAAGGCACTGAGTGTGCTTTTTAGCACCAAGCAATTAAGGGTGAAAATTGAGACTTGGAGCAGACAGGGGAAAATGGCACAGGCTGAGCACTGGGAAGATCAGCAAAATCCGTGCCGTAGGAAGAAAGTTGCAAATCTTGAAATTAAGGGTTGTTTTGGGTGCAGCAGTGATGTTTTACACTGTACTTTGATGCTTTATGTTTTCTTGTGGAAATATGTTGTGAGATTTTGATGAGAACGGAAGGAACTGGAGCAGTAGTAGTGACACAGCATCATTTTAATAATGAGAAAATACTTGATGAAGTGAATAATTTTATTGGCTAGAGTCTCACCCTGTTTTGCCTGGCCCATATCAAGGAAGTTTTGTGGTTTCTGGTGTTTTCTTCAATCTGCAGATTTTTGAGATAAATAGATAAATATATTAATTTTTTTTTTTTTTTCAGAAAGGAAGTAAACTTCGGAACAAGACAGACATTCATGCCAGTTGCACATGGATATTCTTCTGTCAGCAGGATGCAGTTTGCTGCCTACCTGCTTTAAGGCCGGGCTGTTATATTCTCCATCACCTAAACTCTGCAGTGTTTTTCAGTCTTCCATCTCCAAAGTGCCCCATGAACTGGAAAATGGAAAATGAGTAAAATCTGGAATTGGTACTAAGATAGCACGTGCAATTGCTCCGCACAATGAGAGTCAAGGCTTCTGTTTTTGCATGTAAATCTTGTACTCTTCATGGTTAATAAGAGAAATTCTATGATGATAGTGTTCACAAAAGCTACAAGAGCACAGACACTGTGTAACAGCCCAAAGAAAAATGCTTAGTGTGACGCTGTAATTTTCCCCACCTGTTGCAAAAACTGTCAAAAGGAAACACATCTCTTATTTCACTCTGAATAAGATGTGGTATGTTTGTGGTTTGGGAAATGATAGCTTAATTCTCTGTCAGTTGAAACAGCTGGCTGGCCGTGAACCAGAGCTGTGGCTGAGATGTCCAGATACCTGCCTTGTCTTTCAGGCTCAGGCAGAGAAGGCTTTGCTCTCTGCACTTGGATATTTAGCATCTGACAGGCCAGGGCATTTGTTTGAACCCATTGTAACTTTGAAATGGCAAATGTGAAGAAAGGATGTGGCTGATGAGAATTCAGAGATAAAGAATAGAGGAATGAACGGGTTGATGTTTTCTAAGGAACACTTACATGTTAATTCATCTCCCATTTCTTCTCACTGCTGGGAGCCCTCTGTCAACCACATAAAATTCTTTCACATCATCCCATTTGCCTTCCCTACCCAACTCTTTCATCTCTTCATTCTCCTTTACCTACTTTCTATCCGAGATCTGCTCCTGTGAAAATAATCCAAATTTTGCAGACATGAGTGACGTTGGGTTAAACTGCTGGGGCAGCTTGTCTCAGGAAAAAACAACCTACTGATGGTGGTGGGAAGCATGTGCAGGCCAAAATCCTACCTGGCAGAGGCTGATGGTGGTGGAGAAAGTGCATTCCTGTTTTCCAAGGCTAAAATGAAGCCCTCTTGGGGATTAATCATGCTACTTGATGGAATTTGACAAAGTTGCTTGTTTTGTACATTTGGAAAACCAAAATTGTATGGCCTTGTGAAAGCAAAAGTGGAAGGTGAATGATTGGGCAAGAAAGGCTATATTCTGATTTAGTTTAAACCTTCTACATACAGGTTTCCAATTTTCCTAGTTTTCCCAAGCTGTTAAAATATTAGGGGGAAAAAATTAAGTTAGGAAAAGAAGGAAGTGTCTGAAGCCTTTGTTTTGCTCAGGACCTAACCATTCTTGAAAGAACTATTCCTACATGAAAAAAATCAACAAGCATTTAGGCCCCATTCCAATAAGACTTTTTTTTTTTTGTGCTATCTTCCCAAAACAAGAAAAAAAAAGGAAAATAAGAACAACTAGGTGCAGAACTACTCCCATATGATAATAAACTGACTCAAAAAAGTTGAGAACAAGCTGGATCAACTCTCTAACAGATGCAAGTCTTTACTGTTTTAAGAGACAATAGTAAATCATTTGACATTATTAAAGATACCAACCACAAAAAGGATCTGTAAAAATGCATGTTTCCAACTTTTCATCATCTGGGATTCTGTAGTTGTTAATGGTCTGTGAGTCACTGCTGATATTTAAATGCTATATATCCATTTGGATAGGTGCATAGCAGTAACCTCCAGGAATGAAATAATTGCCACCCATGTGAAAAAAATGGTGGTTTCCTGTGCTGACATACGTAATAGAAACATCTTTTTTACTTGAAGCAGATCTTTTAGGCTGTAATCATAGATACAAAGCACAGTAGAAGTATCAGATCTGCCTCACCACTGCATTAGCCTGGCTCTATTCAAGTGCAACTCAGCTGAAAAAAAATGCAGTTACACCAACATAAAATGGAATATTTTGCCCACCAAGACAGCTCTGCATTGCCTCGTGCCCTGCTTAGTCATTTGCAGCACACCAGGGAGTTGCACAGAGCTTTGTGTCTGGTTTTGATTGTGGGATTTCAGTAGATGTTTGTGGTACTTTAAAAGGTTCCTCAGTGTGGTCAGCAGCAGAGAATTCATCTCACCATCTGTGTTGGATGCTGGAGCTGCTGGAGGGTAATGTGTTGTCTAAAAGTGGTATTTATTAATGGAGATGGACTAGGATTTCTCAGAGAAGTCCAGGTACTTTCCAACATGTCTTTCCTGGTCAGCATCTGGAATTCAGAATTGAGACAGGTCCAAAGGCAGCTGTGGAAAAAAACATTTTTCCACAAGGCATTAGAAAACATGATGATATACTTTCTTGTTTTGTGACTTTTGGAAGCAGAAGTTAACAGGCAAGAGCCATAATTTTATATAATAATTCTAGTTCAAGTTCTGATGAGTAACATTTTACATACTTTTGACAAGCAGAGGAGGAGTAGGTTCCCACAAAACTTTGTGTCTCCCATGTCTGTCTTTTCTTTACATGTGGGTGCCATCTGTATTTTTTCCCAAGCAAATGTGCAGAATGGCAGTTCAGTGGCTTCCTACAAATGTCCAAAGTTCTCAAGAAAATTCTTGAACCTCAAAAAAAAAAAAAAAAAAAAAAAAAAAAAAGGAAAAAAAGAATGGACAGCTGAAAAACAAATTAAACAAATTAGATGTCTAGAAAGCCATAAGTTGATTCAACATTTCCTATTTATGCACACAAAAATGACAGCTTAATACATTTTTTCCCTAAAGAGGCAAGGGTTTAGTATGCAGTGTCCCCCTAACCACTCAGCACTCTCTAAGCATAAACTCAGCAAAGCTTATATAAACTAACTACAGAACCTCACAGCTGCTGCAAAATTCTGTGGGACAAACTCATTTGGTTTAAGTGGGACCAAAACCATGAAGGTCAAAACAGGGGCTCAGTCTGACCCTTCCTTTTCCAGATAATGTATGTAGCCTTTATCTTTGACTGATGCACTCGCAGTCTTCAGAATGGAAGTGCACTACATCCCTACCAAGTTAAGTAGTTTATAAACAGCGAAACATACCATTTTATCACTGAAGTGAAAATGTATGAGGGAATAACTGTTTTGAGTTACTCCTAAGATATAAGATTCCTGACTGATTCTTTTAGTCTGAACTGGAGTTGTCAGCAGGTTGTCTTATTGTTGGTTTTGGTATTTAACTTTAGAGGCTCCATCTAAAATGCAGTGCCTCTGTGTGTGCATAAACTAGACACATAAATATCAATCATCTCCCAGATGGTGATAATATGCCCCATGGGAATGGAGCGTAGACTTGCTCTGATACTTCTGCCTGTGTTCTTTGCATTTCTGAGCTCTCCAAAATCCAGCACCCTTTGCTCATCCCAAATGTGCGCTCAGTTACAGTTTTGCTGGTGCATTTCCTGAAAATAGTCCCTTGTTTGTATCTGAGTGTCTTCTTCCTCAGAGCCAGGTCTTTCCAGATTATGGAGCTTTCTGGTTTATTTGATTCTATTTTTAGGCAGATTTTATGCATCTAATTTTGAGTCTGTAATCCAGGACTTTGAATTAGGTGTCCCTGCTCCTTGTAAAACAAATGAGGAAAGTGAGCTGCCTCAGCCTGGGCCTCATGGTGGTGAGATCCCTGAGCAGAGAGACTCCTTTTTTGGTCAGCAGGAAATGACTTCAACTCTGCAGCTCCTTCGCCTGTGTTTAAGTGCTTGACTGGGAGCTGCGGCAAGGTATTTCCCTAAAACCTTTCTGGGAATAAGGTACTTATGTAATTTTCTTGGAAACTACCATGGAGATCATTCTTTTCTTTTAAAGTATAGCCAAGAAAGTACTGCCAAACCCTTTCACGCTGTGTTCACAACCCCGGAATATGAACAGGCCATCCTGCTCTCTTCGCTGGATTTCAGGCCCATATGACCAAAGTGCCCCAAGGATCCCCTAACCACTAAACCACACTTGGAGCAAGGAGCAGTTTTTATCCCTTCTGTTGAAGCCATTCTGCTTTGCAGAAAAGCCTGATGAATTTTCCAGACTAGATAAGCCAAGAGAAGGCATACCAATGGTGAAAGTGAGTCCTGCATTATCAGTGGTCAACGCCAACAGAGGTTTCTGCTCCTGTGCTTCTGCACTGGTGACTGTTCCTACAGCTCATAATGAATAGTTGTTGGATGTGAATTCCCTGAATTATAGGCCACTTTTCTCTTAGGCAGTGTCCCAATCCTGGACAGGAGACTCTGTGTCCATATTTTGGCCTCATGAAATAATCTTAATAAAAAGCTCTAGAGTTTTGATGCATAAAACTTAGTAGGTGGCCCCCATGGCAAGAAAGGCCATGCAAAAGCTCATCTTTTACCTGCTTTTGGGAAATTCTGCATTTGTGCTTAATAAGTTTGAGCCCTGAGGTCTGTTTGTAACATGTAAGAGGTAATTCTTCCAGTTATTCTCCCCTTTCTAATGAAACTCCAATGTGTCCATAAAAGGATTATTTACCATTATAGTTCATAATTATGAAGCGAAGATCAAATACAAAAGGTGTGAGACAAGTGAGCATGGAGAAACTGTGAAAATTTTTCCTTCATTGCTATTTTTTGAGAATACAAGGCTGGGAGCAATATGTGCCTCAGTTTGATTATTGTTTGTGTATGACAATTGACTGCATAGGCAGGAACACACCTGGAAAAGTCACTGGTGCATCCATTGCATGGATTTTTCCTTAACTTGAAGATTAATGTCTAAGATGCTTTTTTCCATAAGGAGGAAGTTAGCAATTATTTTTCTCTGTTTTCAATAAAACACAAGCTTTTGGATTATACAAAAGGAAATATGTTTTCCACAGTTTTTATGAGAGATTATGAAGTGTATTTCCCATTATCTAGAGCATTCAGCCATCCTGTATTTATGCAGGGAGATGAAAAGGGAAGATTAATCAGTGAATGTAAAGATACTCAGTCAACAAACCTTGAGTTTTGTATCTGTGTTAGTAGCTCTGCTACTAGCTACCAGATTTCTTTTTCTATTGTATTTTCTCATTTAGAGGAAACAAAATTGTGTGTTAGCTAATGATTATTTTAAGAGAAAACCATAGCTAGTTGATTATTAATATGAAAGAAGCAGCACTGCCTTTTAATTTTCATTGATAGGTCCATCCTTCAATACATATAAATGATACAGCTCAAGAGTGAAGATTTCTAATTTCTATCAGCTGAGGACCTGGCTTATCACACATTATCAAGTAACATATGACTTGCATTATAATTATAACTTTAAATGAACAAATTTTTTTTTTTTTTTTTTACTTTGCCACAAACTTGAATGCAAAATATGAACAGAGCACTTGCAAAGAAAAAAGAAGGGGTGGCCAGGACATGCACTCAAAAAAGAGACTGCAGGTAATAAAAGTTGAAGTAGAAAATAAATTTCCTTCAAATTTCTGCTTGAACACCTCTTGGAATAAAGAAAATGGTATCTAGCTGACTTAGAAACTAATTGAAAGCACTAAAATGTTGTTGTTATTGTTTTTATTGTTATCATCATCATCATCATCATCGTTAATTGGGAACACTGATGGTTTTTAGTTGCTTTGGCTTTGCATGTCTTTTGCTTTAGTAGGTGAAAGGCAGAATAGATCCCTTAGGATAGATTGCATTTACTCTGCTACTTCAGAGCAACTAAAGCATTCTGAATCCAATGGAAAATGGCAAAGTGAGCATGGGAAGAGACTCCTGAAAGCAGATGAAGCTGGTAGATGAAGCTGGTAATTGAATTGCATGTAAAACAATGGGTGTTTTCACTGACACAGTACTTGTATCCACAGTGCAAGGGCTACTGAGCCTTAAGGCAGAATGTTAGACCTCTCTAGAGGTTCTACCCATGGCTCTGATTCCTGGGAGGGCTGGCCCAGAGAGGAACATGAGTGGGGTTCATGTTCCAGCCATTTTCTTTCCCTGCTTTCCTTATTACAGGTCACTGGTTTGCACCTCAGCCTACTATAGAATCATACGGATGTAAAATACTTTAATGGATCAAAATAACACAATTAACCCTTGCCCTGGAATTTTTCAATGCAAATGACCTTAATTTTATTCTATTAACCTTTATTGGTGATATAAGGGGGCTGCATTTGCTTTGTTTTTATTTTAACATACTTTAAAATTATTTAAAACCATTGATAAAAACATTGAAAAGCTTTGAATTATGGGAATCCCCTAAAATGCCATCAAGCCAATTGTGATTCCCCACTGATTGATTTAAAAAAAAAAAGCACTCATCTCATTCTTAATGCTTTTAACATGTACTTTATTGTCATCAGGTGGCATTATTTTTAACCACAGTGTTGTACTGTACATCACATCTGCAGAACTATAGCAATCTATGTTGAGAATGAAATCAGGTTTGTCTGACACATCCTGTTTTCTGTTAAACACACTGAATAACAGGAATTCTCTTTCCTTTGTTTATTTCCCTCTGAGTTGACTCCTGAAGCAGGTGAATCATTCTTTCACCCAAAACCGAGGTCAGCCTCACTGACCTGGTGTTGCCTGTGTCATCCTGCCTGCCCTTTTTAAACATAGTGCTCTTGTATTTCATGGGACTCCTCCTGGGCTTCCAAGAGACATCAAAAATGTGCGAGATTTTCTTCAGACAGGTCTTTTGTTTGGGACAAAATCTACGGCCTGCCAGGTTTAAAGTACTTATCAGTAATTGATAAGTACTTTACCCTCCTTTACAGTTACTATCAGACTGGGAAGTACTTTGCCATCCTCAAGTGAGAAAAGTATTTTAGCCTTTTTTATTCCAGTATTTACTAAGTGTTTACCTCTTCTCCATCACTGACCATGTTATCTTCTTTTAAAAAGTCAACCATTGGAAGCTTTCTCAGTTTCTGAAATACTTCAGATATTTTTTTTTCCATGTTAGGCATATTTCCTCAGGTAAAGAAATGACTCTGATGCTCTTAGCTTCCCTTTTTCTCTGGTTTTCATTTTTTAAAATATATTTCTTTATGTCTTGATTGCTATCTAATCTCTGCTTCCTCTATTTCATTCCCTTGGAAATTGCATTATAAATGTCCAAAAGAACCTACATATATATATATATATATTTGAGTAAGGTGTCCTTGCGCCATTTGAATGTTGTTGAATGTTGCCTTGAAACACTGCAAGTCTTCACATTTTGCTGAAGGCATGTAAAAATTGGAAAGCTTTTGATCCACAGCAGTTACTCTGGGCCATTGAGGGATGGAGAATAAGGCTCCCATGTTGAATGTGAGTGGAAGGCATGAAGGATATGAGAAGGGAAGGTTAACACTCTAGCTTGCCTGTAAGAGAGCCATAATTGCTCCAGAAAAGCCAGGGAATCTCAGAAAAATTGGAAGCTGGACAGGACAAACGCAGGTCTGAACCAATGTGATTAATCAAACCTTCTCCCTTTATTCGAGATAAGATTGTAGTTTATATAAGCTTCTACATAGTTTACAAAAACAAAGGCACTCTGATTGGCACACTAACATTGTTTACCTTTTCCTTAAGGTGGTCAAACTTTTCACACTGCAGCTCTACTCTAATTTACGCTCGAATAGCTGATTACTTTGTAGTTACCTTAACATAATTTCTGACTGCGCCACAACTGAATTCTCACTGCATCAAAGGCTTCAAGGCCCCATCAAGGCCGCTTATCAGGGCCTAGTCTGACTGGGTAGCCCAAGTCTCACTCCAGACATAAATCATGCTCTCTTCTCACTCAAAAATTCTGTAACAATGCCCTCTTTTTTATTTTTGAGCTACCCAGGCTGACTTGAAGGCCCGGTGCACTATCTTTTGCATACACTATAATAAACACAGCATCGAGACTAAACAAATCATAGTAATAAGAAAAAATACAATAGCAAAATGAACTAAATCTTTAACTCAACTAGTAAAACCTAAAGAACTGATCCAATTAGCAAACAGAGGGTCTACAACAACAAATTCCTTCACGTTTTTTTCAGTTGTGATAACTGTTTCTGAATTGATTGAAAGTGGTCAGTGAAATTCATGCAGCACATGTCTTCAAATTTTTCACACCCATGTCCTTGTGCTAAAAGAAGGAAATCAATGGCAGCTCTGTTTTGAAGAACTGCATGACGGGTATCATCTACATCTGCAGCAAGCTCACTTATCAATTTAGATGTGATATTAATTTGTTTTCCAGTCCAGCAGGCTAGAGTTCTCAATTGTGTGAGCGCTTTCGATGAGGCGACTCCTGGGGCGAAAAGTGAGGCTACTACTACAGAAGCACGCCCCCACAATGACACTATATCTTTACAATTGGGGTCCATTTGCAGAACACTGCGTTTGGCTTGTTGAGTCTTCTGAGGCAATTCGAGAACCTGATGTATGGTGGGAGAAAAAAGTGTCAACCTACTGATATAACATGGGCCTCCCCTAGCATTTTGAGGGACTGCTGACCAGGCTCGGTCCCCACAAATGAGAAAGGTTCCTGGGGGCAGTTTTCCTGCACCACCTCTTGATGGTGTCACAGATTGAGTCGAATTGTTACAATATTAATACAATGGTGATCTGGGAGACAACCAAGTGCTGTCATCTGTCAATTTTCCTTTTTCTTGAGTTGGTTTGGTAGCATAAGGTCCAAATATCAAACAGTAATTTCCTGGGACAAAACCCAAAAGATCAAATTCTTGAAGACTATCATCAGTAAATTTAAGGTTTTGCACAAATGCAACAGCTTGCGCTCCCAGTGTGCTATTGAGATTTATTTGAGCTCGGGTCCAAGTTTTGAACTCTGCAATGGGACCCAACGAGACTCCAAGTAAACAAGTACGAAAAGGGGTTAGACGGTGTGGCTAACGACAGGCTGAATTAATCTTGCCTAGTTTGTTTGGCCCAAGTGATCCACATGTTTTCTCTCTTGTCAATGTCAAGGATTCCAGATACTTCAATAACTAAAACATTGCTTAATAGAAACATTGAGACCCACCACATATTCCTCAGGTTCCTGAATGCCTGTTTAACATGAAAAAAACAAACTTAATTCTAAATATAAACTATAACTTATGATAAACTTAATGTTATGCTTATAATTATCTAATTGATTGTCCCTCTTTTTCTTTTGCCATTGAAAAACAATGGCGAAATGAACATAAAAATCACAGGCATTACTAAAACCCATTAAAACTTAGTAATTAAATTCTATAACATCATTAAAAACACACTTATGAAAAAAAACCCCAAAGTCCATGATCTTCTGTGGGTGAAACACAAGTCTTTGCACAACCCACTTTTACTGTGCATCCTCTGATCCACTTGTGGAGCGATCAGTGCTCTCTTGCAATTAATAAGTTCCACATTCTTCACTGAAATCCATCCAGATTTTGCACCTGTTAAAACACAAACAAACCCAACACCCCCACAGGGACTGGAGGGTCCTCTCTCAATTCTGTTCCCTAAAATTTGCATGATGAAATGGAAATATCAATGTCGTTGTTATAAGCATGAAAAAACATCTAGAACAAAACAACGCATATAGTAAAGAAACTAACAACAAATAAAAATCAAACAGATAATACACAATTAATATTACATATAAAATCACAGTTACCAAGTGCTACACTACCAAATTGTTATCCCAGAGTCTGCAGCAGCTGACAAACCTTAAAACAACAGAGATTTGGATAAAACATGTCTGGATCATGTCTCGCCAAAACTCTCTTTGAGGCTCAGCTGCCCTGCATGGTCAAATTGTCAAGCCAAAAGGACTTGAATACTTTTTGATGCAGAGAACACCTGGATCAATCACACCATCCAAGTAGAGCCAGAGCTTGGCCAGAGCTCGAACTCTAATTGGAGGATATGTTTTAACACATTATAAAATGAAAGTCTTAGAAATAACCATTATAAGTAAAAACCTATGATTAAAATTTTATCAAACCAGCAAATAATTGAACCTGTCCAAAATTTCCTTCAAGACAAAAATTCTCTAAATACAACAAACCTTTTCTTCAGAGATCTGAAAATTTGAAGTCTGAAATCTTGAACCAAAATTTGGACAATGAATTTTTAAAAGAAGATGAATTGCAGCTGCATAAAAGATTGGACAAAGAAATCACATGAGTAGTTAACAAATAAAAAACACAGGATCCTGAAAAAACACATCTTGCAATCAATCACCTAAAGAGACAATAAAACATATGAAAACTGACTGTAAATACTATAACAACACCTCAATACCTGAATACCTTAATAATAATTCTTATCACAAAAATCAGACAAGTCACATTATATGATCAGCCTATCAACAAGAAATGTTTAAAATAGTCTAAGACAATCCTTTCAAAGCATTCATATAACATTAATAACAATCACTACTTATCATTACCTACAAAAATTTAACAATCACTATTTATCGTATTATCTATAAAACTTAAAAATCATCATTACTTATATTATTATTTATAAAAACCCAAAACCAGAAATTGTGAACTCAATACCAACATTCCATCTGACTGACATTTTTCAAATCTTTGTTTTCAGAGACATTTTTGGCAATTAAATCATTATTAACATTTTTATCTTTATACAGTGATTTTTATCTATATTGTATTTGAAATAACATTGATTTGCATAATGTTCATCCTTCTTGGTATCTTGGAAAACACTATGCTTTTTCTTACGTCTTCTGACTCCTGTAAAGAATTGGAAAAATGCTGTTGAAATTTTTGCTGTAGTGTTGCAATCCCTCCATTGGTGACACTGCTGCTCTCGGCGTTGTTGTTACCGTGGCAACCAGGCTGTGCAGCGTCTCCGCCGCCATTGCTGGGTGCTGCGGAGAGATGAGGGGGCGGCGCCGTCTCTCTCCCGTCCTTGCTGCGTCACTGTGGGGACGGGAGAGGAGACGCCGCCTCCAGCGCGGCCGAGCCCCCGGGAATGCCCGTCTCCACCCTTGCGCTGTTGCTCAGCAACAAGGAGCCTTCTGTCTCTTGGCCAATGTCCGCTCCGCCCCGGGGCCGCCTCAGGCTCGGTGCCGGCTGGCCCCGCTCCGGCCGGCCCCGTGGCCACTGCTCCTGCGGTCCGCCCGGGCGGCTGGCCGGTGCCCGCCGCTACAGCCCACTGCCTTACTTCTGCCAATCCGTTCCGCAAGGGACGAAGAAGGGCTTTCTGTAACTTTTCTTTGTCTTTTGCCCACCGAGTCAATTGCTTGCATAAGATCGGACTATTTTTATCTTTTTCCCTCTCTCAGAGAGGATATGTGAAAGGAACCGCGGTGCTCTTCCTCAGACGTTCTTTATACGTCCCCTTTCTTTCCCTTCGCGGCTTACCTCCAACCTCCGCGGGTTGCTCCGCTCGCTTTTCTTCGGCAAGGCAGAACTCCCGCTCCAGCTCCCCGGCCCCAGCCACGTCCACACCCGCCGTTCGGGTTCCTTGTGAACGCCGGGGTCTTCTCTCTGCTCCAGCGGACTCTCGCAAACAAACAACGATGCGAAAAGTCTTTTCCTCCCATCGGGAATGGCCCGATTTGGAGTCTGGAGACTTTTGCTCCATTCCACCTGATCCCCGTTCACAATAAGTGAATTTGGGATCCCAGTCCCGTCGCCATAAAGCTATTTGGACCTCAATTTTCGCCGCGCGACTCGAACTCGGCTCCCCATTACCCTAAAAGTAATTTGGGACCTTTTTCAGAGCCTCCTGAGTCCCTGGTCCGAGCGCCACTAAAAGCCAGGGAATCTCAGAAAAACGGGAAGCTGGACAGGACAAACGCAGGTCTGAACCAATGTGGTTAATCAAACCTTCTCCCTTTATTCGAGATAAAATTGTAGTTTATATAAGCTTCTACACAGTTCAAAAAACAAAGGCACTCTGATTGGCAAGCTAATATTGTTTACCTTTTCCTTAAGGTGGTCAAACTTTTCACACTGCAGCTCTACTCTAATTTACGCTCGAATAGCTGATTACTTTGTAGTTACCTTAACATAATTTCTGACTGCGCCACAACTAAATTCTCACTTCATCAAAGGCTTCAAGGCCCCATCAAGGCCGCTTATCAGGGCCTAGTCTGACTGGGTAGCTCAAGTCTCATAAATCATGCTCTCTGTCACTCAAAAATTCTGTAACACTCCAGCTTAGTGATTTTGGACTAAGTTACTTAAATTTTGTTTGGAGAGTGAGACAGCTACTGTTTCATGTATCTGCTTCATTAAGTTTAGACTATATTTGTCTCTGTTTGCTTTCCTACTTGTGCTTGGAGTGTGTCTATCTGTGCCCTGTTTCACAGAGCCTGGAGTTTATTTGCCCAAGTTTGCTTTCCACTGCCTTTGGACTGTGTTTGCACTGAGCTCTATTTCATTCAGCCTGAACTTACAGGCCCAGATTTGTTCCACAGCATTTGGGCTGTGTTTGTTTTGCTTTTCAGAGCCTGGGAATGTGGCTGTGCACAGCCTGCCACTGCCCAGGGTGTCTTTGTCTGTCCCATGCTTGGCCTCAGAGATGTCCTGGGCTACCTTGGCCCTCACCCACATGCCTTGCCCAGTGCCTTGATTCTAGAGTCTCCCAGTTTGCAGTAAGGAAGGAGCTGACATAAACTGAGTTGCCTGGCATGAAGGATTACATCAGAGCAAAATTTGTCCCAGATCTGCTACAGGCAAATCAAATTTATGTGGGGCCAGAGAGGGTGGGCTACCGAATTCCCAGACAGCCAAACACCTATGAGCTCAGCTTGTGCTATTTTTAATTAAAATAGAAAGGGGAAAAAATAACCATGTCCTGTAATGCTTACTTTTTGAGGATGATGTTAACTAAAAATGCAAATGCTTTTCTTATCTTCCAGGTTTTTTTTGTTTGGTTGGGGATTTTTTCCTGAATCTGT